TCCCAAATTTTTCATCTCAAAATTATTTGTTAAGAATTCATTCACCTCCTCAATCACTTTGAGGCTGGATCCAAAGATCAGTATGTCATCAACATATAAGCACAAAATGACTCCTTCACCCCCACCATACCGATAGTACACACATTTGTCAGCTTCATTCACAACAAAACCAGCAGATATTAAAGTTCTGTCGAACTTCTCATGCCACTGCTTAGGAGCTTGTTTCATGCCATATAATGACTTTAATAATTTACACACCTTGCCTTCTTGACCATTTGCTACAAATCCATTCGGCTGATCTATATAGATCTTCTCCTCCAACTCTCCATTTAGGAAAGTTGTCTTAACGTCCATTTGATGAACGATGAGATCATAAGAGGCTGGCAGGGAAAGCAAAACTCGAATTGTGGTCAATTGGGCAACCGATGAATAAGTTTTAAAGAAATCCTCACCTTCCTTTTGAGTATAATCCTTGGCCACAAGCCTTGCCTTGTACCTCTCGATAGTACCATCAGGCCTAAGCTTTTTCTTGAACACCCATTTGCACCCTATAGGCTTGCACCTATAGGGACGATCAACTATTTCCCAAGTTCCATTAGACATAACAGAATCCATCTCACTCCATACTGCTTCCTTCCATAAGTCAGCATAAGAAGAGGAATATGCCTCTTCAATGGTCGTTGGTGTATCATCCACAAGGTACACAATATAGTAATCACCAAAAGACTTTGCAGTCCTCTATCCCTTACTTTTTCTTGTGACTATAATGTCATCCTCCTCAGGATTTTGCATATAGGGTTCCTCAGTTTGTTCTATCGGGGTAAAATTTTCATGCTCATGGGAAATTATAAATTCATGACTAGTCGTGCTAGGTGCATTTTTCATGGGAAACTCATCCTCAAAAAATGTAGCATCTCTAGATTCCATGATTGTATCAACAGCCATCTTAGAAACACTAGAATTTATAATTAAAAATCTATAACCCATGCTGTGAATAGCATAACCAAGAAAGACAATCAATAGTCTTTGGTCCAAGCTTTCATTTTTTGTTTATTGGCACATTCACTTTTGCCAAACAACCCCAAGTTCGCAGGTAAGAGAGATTTAATCTCTTCTTCTCCCATTCCTCAAATGGTGTAACTTCTTTGTTCTTTGTGGGTACTCTATTCAGGATATGACATGCTGTCAATATAGCATCACCCCACCATTCCTTAGATAGTCCCGCAGTTTTTAACATGGCATTAATCAAATCAGTTAGAGTGCGGTTCTTTCTCTCTACAATCCTATTGGACTGTGGTGAGTATGGTGGCGTCCTCTCATGAATAATTCCATGCACCGCGCAAAACTCAGAAATTTCATTTGAGAAATATTCTTCCCCGCAATCGGACCGCAAACGCTTGAGTTTCTTCTCAAGTTAATTTTCTACCTCAGCTTTATAGACTTTAAAATAATGCAATGCTTCATCTTTAGTTTTCAATAAATACACGTAGCAAAATATAGTACAATGATCTATAAATGTTATGAAGTATCGTCTACCGCCTTTAGTCAACTCGCTATTCATTTCACATAAATCAGAATGAACAAGTTCTAATGGTGCCAAGTTACTCGCCTTCGTAGCCTTGTGAGGCTTGCGCGGTTGCTTCGATTGCACACACACCTCGCACTTAGAATCTTTGACTAAGTTAAATTTTAGGATTAAATTCAGATTTGCAAGCCGCGTGAGACAACCAAAATTAATGTGACAAAGTCGTGAATGCCATATATTCGACTCATCCGAAACATTAACATTGTTCACCACTTTATTACACACATCATCAAGCAAAAATAAGTGGAACAAGCCTTCGCAATCATAACCTTTTCTAATAAATGTTCCATGTCTCGACACAACACACTTATTAGACTCAAGCATAATTTTAAACCCATAGTGACACATCTGAGAAGCGCTAACAAGATTCTTCTTGATGAAGGGGACATGTTGTACGTTCTTTAATAGCACCGTCTTTCTCGAAGTAAACTTCAGAACGACCGTACCAACACCAAGAACACGCGTATGTGAACCGTTTCCCATCAGCAAGGCTCCAGTCCAGCCGGCCTGATAGGAAGTAAACAAAGAAACATCAGCACACACATGGATATTAGCACCGCTGTCCATCCACCACTCAGGTGAAAGACAAACTGAAAGAACAAAAGGTAAAAAATTACCATACCCAGATGTTCCTCCTCCAGTCTCGTTGATCACCACGTTTGTAGATTTCTTTTCTTGCTTATATTTACGGTCTGGGCACGCACTTGTCCAATGCTCATCACTCCCGCAAACAAAGCAACCTCCACTTTTCTTGTTGTTTTTCTTCTTAAACTGTGCAGTTTGCTTAGGCTTTGCATTGTTGTTCTCTTGCATATTCTTCTTTTTTTATTACGAGATATAAATGAGTTTTTCTTCTGCACCATATTGGCGACGGAAGACTCAACTCCTTTTCCACGGCTGTCTTTTGCTCTCGCCCTCTCCTCAATATCAAGTGATCCAATAAGCTCAGCCACGCTAAACTCTTGTCTCTTGTGTTTTAGAAAAGTAGCAAAATCCCTTCAAGAAGATGGCAGCTTAGCGATTATACCATCGGCCACAAACTTGTTTGGCAACAGGCATGGAAAATATTCTAGTTCCATTGCTAGCGCCTGTATCTCATGAGCCTGTTCGACCACAGAACGGTTTTCAACCATTTTGTAGTTATACAGCTGCTCCATGAGGTACAACTCACTGGCAACATCAGAAACTCTAAACTTTGCCTTAAGAGCATCCCATAACTCTTTGCCTGGTGTGCAAGATATGTAGTTTTTCTCATACTTGAATGAAGTGCACTAATCACGACGCCTCGAAACAGGTTATCGGCAGCCAAGAACTTTGTCTCCTCCTCAGGAGTAAACTGTTCAGGCTTCTCCTGCGCGGCGTGATAGCAGTTCATCGCAGTCAACCACAATATCATCTTGGCACGCCATATCATGAAATTCTTACCATCAAAATTATTTGGCTTCAAAGCGGCAGCAAAACCACTGACAAAAAATTACATAAGATTAGATTTTTGGATTGTTAAAAATTTAGGCATTTTCATGATCAATTGAATCCAGAAATATAACATCAGCAGATTCATGACGGCATATATCTCTAACGAACGCTACAGCATGCAGAGATGACATATAGATGAATACAGTAAAAGAGAGTATAGTAATCACAGATATTAGAATGTACCCAGCGGAGGGTCCCATGCCGAGGGCATCAGAGGCTCCATTCGTACTAGTCGACATAGTGCGTTGCTCGAAGTCACGGACCACAGTCGGTGTAGGACGATATTCGCAGTGCAGTCCCATGAACGGATCACCAGGAAGAAGATGGATTCCGAGAGCGATCACCACCAGGAAAAAGGCGTACGTGGACGAGCAGTCACGGATCGCTCCCCAGAAGACGTACGTGGACGAGTAGTCGCGGATCGCTCCCTAAAAATCTAATCGCCGCACACCCCGTGTAAGGTTCTCAGGCGGGTGAGGGTTCCGGAGGCACCTGCTCTTCCGCTACTCTGTACGCGCAGAGGTACGGGACGGGAAGCCACCGCTCACCCCGTGCAGGATTCTCAGGCGGATGGTGGTTCCGGAGGCACCTGCTCTCCCGTTACTCCGTGCGCGCAGAGGTACGGGACGGGGAAGCCAGAAGGCTACTGATCGGGACGGGAAGCCAGAAAGCTGCTAAGATGTGGTTTCTCTCGGAAGCTGTGGTTTCTATTGGGAGCGGTTGCGGAAGACATACGGAGATCTGGACTGAAGGAGAGCGGTTGCGTAAGACAGACAGAGATCTGGACTGAAGGAGGACTACGGATATATGGGTGCGACGGGAAGGGAGAGAGACAACAGAGAATCACATAAGATGGAGAGATGGAAGCGAAAAGGAGGATAAGTGACGCAATCAGTTCGCCTCCACCATCAAAAGGAGTAACTCCCGTGATTATGAATAATTTCCAATTATATAAGCTAAGTCAACGTTCAGTCAAAATCTCGTATGATATTAAACCATACAATACTTAATGTTATGTACCATACAGTTTTATTTAATTTATTAAATATTATATGGGTCAAGCCCATATTATATCAACGTATCTTCGTCTAAACCGATATAAACTCTGTGGTGGATACTCCCTTGATTTGACTGAACCCGTATAAACTCTGTCCCAGGAACTATTCCTCTGATTCGTATTCATCAGATTACCCGTCATTTTGGTAAAAACGCGTCGACAGCGTGCTTACCTGTCAGTACAGGGTGAGTGTATGTAGACGTCGACATCTATGGTGCTTTTTAAAAATGGTGTCTGTATGCTCCGAACTTCCGAAGTCCAAACTCAGTGAAATTGCTACGAAGTTTTCACAACCGCATCCGGTAAAACTTGCTGAGCACCTGCAGCCGTCTGCCAGCCTGTTCGTTTGGCCGTGTTTTGTCGTAAACGATCGTAAATTTTTAATCGAAAAAGTATTTTTCTCTCACACAAACCAGCCAGGAACTTTTTCACGAACCAGCAACGAAACGAATCAGCCAAACGAACAGGCTGTATCTTCTAGTCGAGTCAAACTGCATATCGTCGCCTTGTCGAGGTCGTTCTGCTTCCGTCGACATCTACACGTCGACGAGACTATTCTCCTCCAATAGAACACACCCGTATGTTTCATTTTTTTCATTCATCCACGACTCCTCAAACTGACAAGCGACACTTCGCATTCACTTGACACGGTCTAAATCCTCTGGTTCCCAAGTAGTAGTAGTTTTTTTAGAGGACGCAAGCAAAGATGTCAAAGGAAAGAGATTGTTCTGATTATTATTTGTAATCATCAAAGGCAAGTACTATAAATTACGGCCAAGATCTTTTCGGCATAACAGACTTTCACCTTTAGAATCATTCCAGAGCCTCGGCGACGACGGAGGAAGAAAGCTTGCTCCTTGTGTTCCCACGACGACTGCGTCCATGGAGCGCGTGCCGCCGGAGGACGCTGGGCAGGAGAGGGTCATGGCAGCCGCCAAGCAGATCCTGTCCAAGAACGCCGCCGACGACATGATGCACTTCCTGTCCACCTTCGACCCGCGTCTGCACCCGCTCTCCTCTCCGGAGACAGTCGAGGAGGAGGCGTCCGGCGGTGATGACGATCAAGAAGAGCTAGAAGAGGAGATCGCCGCCGCGGAGGAGGTCATCCTCCGGGGCAACTCCTCGTCGCCGTCGTCCGGCGGCATGATCGCAGACTACCTCTACGCCGTCGACGACGCCATGCTGCGGCTGGAGGAGGAGGCGCGCTCCCTGCTCTCTTCTTCCTCCCCCTCTCTGCGGCGCCTCTCGCTGTCGTCGGACGACCTCGGCGACGCGACGCCCGACGCGTCCTCGCGCCACGGCACGCTGTCCCCGACCGCCTCGGCCTCCGTGGGCGCCGTCGCGGCCCGCATGCTGCGCGCCGGGTACGGGCCCGAGCTCGCGCAGGTGTACGTGGCCGCCCGCCGCGACGCGCTCGCGGAGTCCGTGGCGCTCCTCGGCGTCGAGGCCGTCGCCATCGAGGAGGTCCTCCGGATGGAGTGGTCGGCGCTCGACCAGAGGATGCGGCGGTGGAGCCACGCCGTGAGGGCCGTGGTCAGGACCTTCCTCGCGGACGAGCGCCGGCTCTGCAACGAGGTCTTCGCGTCGGACGAGGACCTCGGCAACGAGTGCTTCGCCGACGTCACCAGGGGCTGCGTCCTGCAGCTGCTCGCCTTCGCGGACGCCGTCGCCGTGTCGCCGCGCGCCACCGAGAAGCTGTACCGCACGCTCGGCATGTACGAGGCGCTCGCCGACGTGCAGCCGGAGCTGGAGGCGCTCTTCGCCGACGACGCCGCGCGCGAATTCTTCGCGGGCGAGGTCTCGAGCACCGTCCAGCAGCTGGGCTCCACCGTGCGCCACACCATCGAGGAGTTCAGCCACGCCATCCACGGCGAGGCGTCGCGGAAGCCCTTCCACGGCGGGGAGATCCACCCCATGACCCGCTACGTCCTCAACTACTGCGGCCTCCTCGCCGACTGCCGCGGCACCCTGGACGCGGTCCTCGGCGACGCCGGCCTCGACGACAGAGCCGCCACCGCCGACGACGGCGCCCCGGCCTCGACGCCGTCCGCGCGCTGCATCCGCGAGCTGCTCACGCTGCTGCTGCAAAACATCGACGACAAGTCCCGGCTGTACGACGACGCCGGGCTGCAGAACATCTTCCTGATGAACAACCTCTACTACGTGGTGCAGAAGGTGCGGGAGTCCCCGCCGCTGCGTGAGCTCGTCGGCGACGACTGGCTCCGGCGGCACCGCGGCCAGATCCGGCAGTACGAGACCGGCTACCTGCGGGCGTCCTGGACCGCCGTGCTGTCCCAGCTGAGGAGGGACGACGGCGCGTCGGCGAGGCCGGCGGCCGGGCACAGGGCGCCGTTGGGCCCGTCGGCGAAGAGCTTCAACGCGGCGTTCCAGGAGCTGTACCGGACGCAGACGGCGTGGAAGGTGGCGGACGCCCAGCTCCGGGAGGAGCTGCGCATCGCGGTGTCGGAGCGGCTCATCCCGGCGTACCGGGCGTTCCTCGGGCAGGGCAGCCGGCACCCGGCGAGGCACGTCAAGTACAGCCTCGAGGACCTCGAGGACTACATGCTGGACTTCTTCGAAGGCGCGCAGAAGTTTGTCAGGTCGTGATCACCGGAGCAGAGGATCATCAATTCACCATCCATCGGGAGTTTGGGACGTGCGTGAATCGTGAATTCCTGGTGTTTGCGCTGCAATCTCATGATAATTCGATGTTGTAGATTTTGATTTTTCCTCTCTTCTACTAGGTTCCTTTGTCTATTTTCACGTCAGTCAAACCACAGCTTACACTTATACAGACATATGTAAATACGCATCAAATTCAGGAGTGTATATATCCTACCCTGTTTTTCGCTTGTTCATGATTTTGCGGTGGTTGTTATGGAACTTAAAAATGAAAATCTTCAGGACCTGAGCATTATTAGCCAACGTATGCTTTGCCTGGTTTGCCAATCAGGCCATGATCAACGAGGTGGCTCAACTGGTGGTTTGCAGGTTTGGTCTGGCCAGCCATGTGTCGGATGTTAGAGTGACATGATCAGTAATGTATCTTTACCATATTAAATTATTAAGTAGGGTGGGATTCAATAAAATGAATAAAATACTACGTAGATACTATAACTATGCTAAGGCAATGGACAGGGAGGCGTAAATCAGAGAGAGAATTGATTATTTTATTATTTACTATGAAGTCATAATTCATAAAGCTATTGCCTGATATTTGCTATTTACTGGCTCCATGCTGTTTACAGCCTACAACCAAGTTTAAGCGCTAATGCCAGAACAACTTATAACTTGGAATGGAGGGAGGAGTTTTCTGCCACATCATGGCTGCCCTCATAGCATCTTCAATAATCCATCTAAAATTAAATCGATCTCGCATCTCCAAGAATCCATCTAAAATTAAATCTCACATTCGTCATGTTCTGCAGCACTACTTCAACGATACTTTTCAGCGAACGAATGTTTTTCTCTCACGTACAACAAATCAGCATAAACATCAGTACACGTCAAATTTCAGCGAAACGAACAAGGCCTTCTCATATACTCGTAAGGTTCACCCTAATTCCCTAAACATAAATTCACCCTAGATCATTTTCCCTACTAACAGAATTCCCACTAAACCGCAACTTTCTATTGCTTAAGATAGAGTGGAGGAGGGAGGTGATTCAAATTTGAGGTACAAGGAGGATAATTTAAGGTGCCACTAAATTGTGTTGTTGGATATGAGCACTTTTAGAGGAGATTTCCTGCGCACAAATTTCATTTTTAACAACAGGATATTGAATAGATGCAATCTTGCACAAAAAAAATAATTTCAACACTAGGACATTGAACATGTGCACTCTTGTTGATGCAACAAGGAGAGAGAAGGTGGATAGATAGAGAGATGAATGAGGACGTATACCTAGAGAGCATGGGAGTAATGGGAGCAGGAAGTAAAAAGGAGTGTACCCTGCATGAGAACGGTTAGTAACCTCAGGATCACTTGGTCCACGGGAGAGAAGCTTGCACTTGGGTGAGGGCAACGTTTACTGGTGGCTGCGTTTCTCCTATCATGAGCGTGACAGTTTTCACATAGCTTGCAGACCGGGCATCAAGTATCAGCACACACTTAGGTTTCAGATAAGGGCAAAGGCAACGGCAGCAGAAATGTACTCCTACATTAACAGTAACCACTTCTTCAGTTTCAAATACAAAAACATGATGTGGCAAACAAAGCAACCACCCAAAATATATCGGTATAGCTAGCGCCCGGACGTCCGGACGGATGCCCGCGTCCGGACACCGACGCTTGCTACGCGCGTCCGCGCGCATGTGGGAACCCGCACCCCCTCCGCGCCTTCCATTCGGATGCTCGGGCCCCCTTTGCACCTCCCGTTCAGACATCCGCACTCCGCCCGCTTCCCACACCTGCGTCGCCATCCACCTCAACTGCTCGTCCCAGGAGCCCGAGCGCCGGAGCTGCTGGTGACCACGACAGGGCCTTGGTACTGGTCAGGGAGTTTGCCAAGAAGGAGAAGTTGGTGGCCGGCCACCAGCACCATTACAACACGTGCAACACAAGATCTACTTTTGAAACATCCAGATAAAACATTTGCAACATACTTCTGAAGACAAATGAAACACTTAAAACATGCGATTGAAACATGCGTGTGTAACTATTGCAACATGTGCAACACCAAGATCTACTTTTGCAACATCTAGATGAAACTCTTGAAATATACGTCTGAAACACATAAAACACTTGAAACATACGGTTGCAACATGCGTATATTGCCTTTGCAACATCTCATGAATATTTTTGCAACACCCAGATGAAACACTTGAAACATAAGTATCAAACGCTTGAAACACTTGAAAACACGGCATCACCGGCTGCCACATCCTACCTGATGGGGAACTCCGGTAGCCGGCAAGCTCGGTCAAAAGGGACATCGAGAGCAATGGCCTAGCGCACACCTTCGTTTCTTTTTCATGTCGTGGTGTCTTCAACAAGCGTGAAAAGCGATGTCAAGACCATCGACAACCCCCTCTTGGTGGTGCCGGGATGGTGGTGGTTTTGGTGACGCCACGCCCACGATATACGAGGTGGAGTGGGGCGCGCACGACCGGCGATCTTGACAGCGGTGAGGAAGCGCGCTGGGCATGTGCTTGATCGGCGATTAGATGCTGCGGCGGAAGCACATGGTGTGACGAGGGACAGGCACGGTAGGAAGGGCGCGCGGCGCGAGGCAGAGGGGCGTGTTCATGCGAGTTCTGTTGAAGAAGAGAGAGCGGGAGGCGGTGTCGATGGAGGCTAAAGAAATGAGTGGATAAGAATGACGGAGTAAACTAGAGAATGAGTGGTTGTGCGTGGGTAGAGTCCGTTCAATATTTTTGGGCATGGGACCCTCCGGCCAGAGCATTATGGAAAACATATGGTAAAGTTTAGTAGTACACGAAATGGCTGATTCCTTTGAATTCACGGGATCAGAGATTTGGGAACCCCCAACAAGATCTCAACTTCTCAAGTTTTCAGCTAAGACAAGGCAGCCCGATCCGTTCTTCCTATTTTACCCGTAGTTTTGGGCCCGAGTTTAGGGCCCATTACAAAGCTAGGCTAAAGCCCATATTCCCTGCCTGCAGAAACAGGAACCTTCGCGTGGCGGGCGAGGAGCCCACATGTCATTTCTCGGAGTGTTCGGTCGAGCGGGGCCCGCCTGGGCCGGGGAGCGCCCGCCGGCATCGCGATCGCCGCCGAGTCACCACTCACCACACTCCAAACAGAGCAGGGGAGGCCACTTCGAGGCCCTGGCGTTGGCTGTCTCGGTGTCATCCTCTCCCTATCGTCTCGTTCTCGTCACCCCTCGTGTCGCGTAGCGGAGCGAGCAGCGGACCTCCAGGGAGCGCGTCGCACAGGCCAGCGAAGATGCCCGGGCTCACGGCGCCGTCCGACTACGCGGAGGAGCCGCCGCGTCACCCGGACCTCAAGATCAACTCCAAGGTCAGCGCTACGCCCCCCTCTCCCCGCGACTCACCCCTCTTGGAGAGATTCGAGAGTGATTGGGTGTGTGCCTTACTGCCTTGTGGTGTCGCCAATCGCGCGGATTCGTTCGCGGCTCTGGCTTGGCCCGGCCCAGTCCGGTCCAGGCAGGCTGGATGCGCGCGAGGGCTTCTACGGCGCCCGCGCGTTGGCCGATCAGGCCGCCGCCGACCCGCCGTTGGTGCTGTGCAGCAGCGGGCAGAGCGCTCCGCTGCCCGTATGCGTCAGGCGTGCACGTGCTGTTACTGCACAATGGTTAGCGAAGCGTGGTGAGCACTGAGTAGTGAGCAGGGGTTTTTCCAGTCTCTGTCGTGTGAAAATAGGCCCCAGTTTCTATTCCTTTCTGGCCGCAGTCCCACGGCACTTGGATGTTGTATTTCTCTGTACGCTGCCAGAATGATGCAGCGTCTCGGTTGCCGAGTGTCTAGATTATCAAGAGCTTTTCCTGAATGAGTTTTCATTTTAGTAGGAATTTTTCCTGAACTATCCAGTAAGATGCAGAAAAGGGAGTAATCTGGGATTATCATGCTGTTTGCAGGAGCCATTCAATGCTGAGCCTCATCGATCAGCGCTAGTCGCATCTTACATCACCCCAGTGGATTTCTTCTACAAGAGGAATCATGGACCCATCCCGAAAGTCGAGGACCTCTCAAGGTTTCTTAGCACAAACTGTGAATTTCCATTAATCATTGTGATCTGTTACAGTTTACCAAAGACTGACACTTTATATGAATGGATTGACAGATACACTGTTTCCATTTCTGGTCTCGTCAACAAGTCTATTCAGCTATCCATGGGTGACATTTGGTAATGTTTTAATGTTTTTTCCCTAGTGTCTAATAATGTGACATGAATGGTCTTTGCTCTTGAGTAAAGAATTGACATAAAACTTCGCATTCAGGGCTCTTCCAAAGTACAATGTCACGGCAACTTTACAGGTTTCATATATATGCTTGCCCAACTAATCATTCTGCGATGCCTATATGTTAGTATGGCTAATAACCTAAGCATATAACAATATGATCCTGACATTTACAGTGTGCGGGAAACAGGAGGACTGCGATGAGTAACGTACGAAAAGTGAGAGGTGTTGGGTGGGACATATCTGCTCTTGGAACTGGTAAGAGATGAGTTCAGAACTTAAGTGGTGCCTTTCATTTTGATGTTGTAGAAATGAAACCCATCGGTGGTATGCTTGTTTTAGTGCTCAAGTGGTGGGTGCACGTGCGGAATCTTATAAGTTTTAGACTAGAAATAAGTCCTTGCTGTTTCTGATTACTTTGTGAGTATCAAACTAGCAGTTAATAACATATGGTTTCTCCTACAGTCCAAGGCGTGAGTGTGTGGTGTTGTATGGGGTTTCTTTCCCCCATTTTATTCTTCTTAATATAATGATACGCAGTTCTCCTGCGTGTTCGAGAAAAAGAAAAAGAAAAAGTTAATAGCATATGGGCTAGGTATAATGATCACATGAAATTGAGGGATTTCCTAGAACTGTTTGCGTTTTATTATCCCTAGAACTGTATCTTTCACTTCCCTTCTGGACTCCTAATTTGTAGTCTCGAACAGACAACCTTTCCTTTTCACATTCCATGTTTTTTCCTACTGATTAATGACTTGTTCGGCTTCTTTTTTCAGCCGTTCGGCTTACCTTAAATCCGGCTTGTTCAGCTTCTTTTTTCAGCCGGAACAGTGTTTTTCTCTCACAACATTTCAGCCAGAACAGTGTTTTTCAGCCACTTTCAGCCAAGTTTCAGCAAGCCGAACGGGGCCAGATCATACAGAAAATACTGAAAAATTCCGTGGTCTGATTGTGCTCATCAAAATATGCTTGTAGATACTACTATACTAGCACATGCATTTGCTTGTTGACTAAAATGATTCCTAGTAGTAGTATCTACTATCTACTGATGTTTTGTATGATTCCAGCAACTTGGGGAGGTGCCAAGCTATCTGATGTCCTTGAGCTAGTTGGAATACCAAAACTCAGTTCAGTCACATCTCTAGGAGGGAAGCACGTTGAATTTGTTAGCGTTGACAAGTGTAAAGTGAGTGTGTTGATCCTTATTTCCTGGCAGACACTTTTTTGGCAAAGCCTCCTCTCGCTAATCTCATATTGTTTGTCAGGAGGAAAAAGGCGGTCCTTATACGGCATCTATTCCATTAAAGCAGGCAACTGATCCTGATGCTGATGTATTACTTGCATATGAAATGAATGGAGAGGTGGACAAAAAATAACTTTTCTTTGTAAAATTGAAATTCAATTTTATGTAGTCTCGATATGATGTTTAAGTTATTCTTCAAAAAGTAGTTTCTTTATTAATGCCTTTGTGCCATTCTGCTACTTGTTTCCTTTTCAGTTTTCTTTAATCTGGATGTCTTTAAATTTTCTTGTTATAAACTACCATGTTTAGGTACTCAATCGGGACCATGGATACCCACTCCGGGTTGTTGTACCTGGCGTTATTGGTGCACGCTCTGTAAAATGGTTGGACAGTATCAACATAAAAGAGGAGGAATGCCAGGTTTTCTGAAACTATGAGTGCAATGCCTTCTCGTATTTATTTTCTATGTTCAAAACTGACTGCTATTCTCAACCAGGGCTTTTTTATGCAAAAAGATTACAAAATGTTTCCACCAACCGTTGACTGGGACAATATTAATTGGTCAACTAGAAGGCCACAGATGGATTTCCCTGTGCAGGTATGCTGCATCATTGATTCTTCATTGCTCATATGTGGTGCTAGGTTTCTGAAGAACTTATGTTCACTTACTTTGATCATGTAGTCTGCTATCTGTACACTGGAAGATGTAGATGTTATCAAGGAAGGAAAGGTCAGTATGTTTCCATAACAATGCATACTCTGAGACTGAATCCTGTGTAAGCACCATGGGCAAATTTCAAATAAATCTTCTTCAAACACCGCTATGCTTGCTTGCTGCAGGCTAGGATTGCTGGATATGCACTTTCTGGTGGTGGCCGTGGCATTGAGAGAGTGGATATATCTTCTGATGGGGGTAAAACATGGGTTGAGGCTCGTAGATATCAGAAAGACAATGTGGCGTATGTATCAGATGGACCTCAAAGTGATAAGTGGGCTTGGGTTCTCTTTGAGGCTACATTAGACATACCAGCAAATGCTGAGATCCTTGCTAAGGCGGTAAGTGAAATCCATCTCAACCCACTGTTTCACCCAACTTTAAACAGTTTATGTGAAATGCACCTTGTGAACTACAGGTGGATTCAGCTGCAAATGTTCAGCCCGAAAAGGTAGAAGACATATGGAATCTGAGAGGAATCCTCAACACATCTTGGCATCGGATCAAAATACAGAACTCTTCATCCGTAGGAAGATCTAAGATGTGAAATTAAGTACGCAGCTGACCACTTGGAGCAACCATGGTGGTGATCCTTGCGAATCTTGACAATGTACCAAAATATTAAGTCACTTCAACTTTCTGTGTTTCTCGAGTCAGGCTGTACCACGAATGTTGGAGCGGTGTTCTATGGGATTTGAGCTCACTTGATTTCTATGCAATGTCAGCTGCTGCTGTTTTTTTGTTTGTCACTGGATAACTGCCGTTATTGGTTGGTCTGATATCAAGAAATTACAATTGCATTCTGGATTCTGCGTTGAAAATTATGCAGCATAGGACGTTCGTCTGTTCGGCTGGTATTAAAGCCGATTTGCTGAAACTGTTTTGTTGTGAGAGAAAAATACTGTATATTCTGACTGATAAGTTCAAGCGAACGTGCCCTTAACTCCGGGAAAGGAGGTGCATTTCATATGGCAGCTAAGAAATACTAATAAAAGAAAAAAGATGTGAATCATTCCTTCCTAGCCGTGGAAATGGAAGAGCCAATTTCCGTACGCAATGATACAGTTAGCAGTAACATTCTTCCTATTTACTACGGCAGTCCCTTAGCACGAAAGGAATGCAGCTGCCGTGGCACGTGGGTATCAATGATCAGTGATCTAGAATTCTAGATCGAAGGAAAACAACGACAACGACAAAGCCTTTAAATCCCAAATAAATTGGATAGACTAGAGTCAAAACTCAGCTGAAGCAATCAAGGTTCAGGCACGTGAATAGTTACTTTCCAAGTACTCCTATATAAGACTAAGTCTTTGAGTATATTCCATCCTTTTAAGTCTCCTTTTATTACATCTACCCAAGTCAACTTCGGTCTTCCTCTGCCTCTCTTCACGTTACTATCCTGGCTTAGAATTCCACTACGTACCGGTGTCTCTTTAGATCTCCATTGAACAAGTCCAAACCATCTCAACCGGTGTTGGACAAGCTTTTCTTCAAATGGTGCTACCCCTAATCTATCACGTATATCATCGTTCCGAACTCGATCCCTTCTTGTATGACCACAAATCCAACGCAATATACGCATTTCCGCGACACTTATCTGTTAAACATGTCGTCTTTTCGTAGGCCAACAATCTGCACCATACAACATAGAAGGTTTAATCGTCGTCCTATAAAACTTGCCTTTTAGCTTCTGTGGTACACTTTTGTCACATAGGACACCAGATGCTTGGCGCCACTTCATCCACCCTGCTTTGATTCTATGGCTAACATCTTCATCAATATCCCCGTCAATCTGTAGCATTGATTCTAAATATCAAAAGGTATCCTTCATAGGCACTACTTGACCTTCCAAACTAATATCTTCCTCATCCCGAGTAGTAATGCCGAAATCACATCTCATATACTCAGTTTTAGTTCTACCGAGTCTAAAACCTTTGAACTCCAAAGTCTCCCGTCATAACTCCAGTTTCTAATTCACTCCTGTCCGGCTTTCATCAACTAGCATTACATCGTCCGCGAAAAGCATACACCAAGGGATGTCCCCTTGTATGTCCCTTGTGACCTCATCCATCACTAAGATAAACAGATAAGGGCTCAAAGCTGACCCTTGATGTAGTCCTATCCTAATCGGGAAGTCATCCGTGTCTCCATCACTTGTTCGAACACTAGTCACAACATTGTTGTACATGTCCTTAATGAGCCCAACGTACTTCGTTGGGACTTTATGTTTGTCCAAAGCCCACCACATAACATTTCTTGGTATTTTATCATAAGCATTCTCCAAGTCAATAAAAGCCATGTGTAGCTCCTTCTTCTTCCTATACCGCTCCATAACTTGTCTTATTAAGAAAATTGCTTCCATGGTTGACCTTCCGAGCATGAAACCAAATTGGTTTATAGAGACCCGCGTTATTGCTCTCAAGCGATGCTCGATAACTCTCTCCAAATGCTTCATAGTATGGCTCATCAACTTAATTCCCGGTAATTAGTACAACTTTGAATATCCCCTTTATTTTTGTAGATCGATACCAATATACTTCTCATCCACTCGTCAGGCATCTTGTCCGATCGAAAAATAAGGTTGAACATCTTGGTTAGCCATACTATAGCTATGTTCCCGAGGCATCTCCACACCTCAAATTGGGATACCGTCCGGTCTCATCGCCTTACCTCCTATCATCCTTTTCAACGCCTCTCTAACCTCGGATTCTTGGATTCTCCGCACAAAGCGTCTATTGGTGTCATCAAAAGAGTCATCCAACTAAAAGGTTGTGTCCGTATTCTCACCATTGAACAATTTGTCAAAATACTCTTGCCATCGATGTCGAATCTCATCCTCCTTCACCAAGAGATGCTCCCTTTCATCCTTAATGCACTTAATTTGGTTGAAGTCCCTTGTCTTTCTCTCACGAACCCTAGCCATCCTATAAATGTCCTTCTCTCCTTCCTTCGTACACAAATGTTGGTAAAGATCCTCGTACGCTCTAGCCTTTGCCACACTTACAGCTCGCTTTGCAGTCTTCTTTGCCACCTTGTACTTCTCTATGTTGTCCACACTCCTATCATGGAACAAGCGTCTATAACATTCTTTCTTCTCCTTAATAGCCCTTTGGACTTCCTCGTCCCACCACCAAGCATCTTTGGCCTCGCCTCCACTTTCTTTGGTTACTCCACACACCTCTGAGGCCACCTTCCGAATGTTGGTTGCCATCTTCTCCCACATGTTGTTTATGTCCTCTTCTTCCTTACAAGAGCCCTCTTTGATAACCATTTCCCTGAATACCTTTGACGTCTTCCCTTTTAGTTTTCACCACTTTGTTATTTCAATCTTAGCTTGCTTATCCCTACAAGCACGCACCTGAAAACGAAAGTCTGCCACCAAAAGCTTATGTTGAGAAACAACACTCTCTCTTAATATCACCTTGCAACCCAAGCATGCTCGTTTATCCTTTCTTCTTATGAGGACAAAGTCAATCTGACTAGAATGTTGTCCGCTACTGAAGGTCACTAGATAAGATTCTCTCTTTTTAAAGAAAGTGTTGGCTATCATCAGGTCAAAAGCTACCGCGAAGTCCAGAACTTCCCCCCCTCCTAATTCCTACTACCATACCCAAAACCTTCATGAACTGCCTCGAAACCTGCGCTTGTAGTATCTACATGCCCATTAAGATCTCCTTCTATAAAAAGCTTCTTACTACTAGGTACAACTCTAATCAGGCCATCTAAGTCTTCCCATAACTGTCTCTTAGCACTCTCGTTGAGGCCTACTTGGGGGCATATGCACTAATTACGTTCAAGACCATATCACCAACGACAAACTTGACTAAAATAATCCTATCTCTTTGCCCTCTCACTACCACCACACCATTCTTGAGGCTCTTATCAATCAAAACTCCTACTCCATTTCTATTCGCGACTGTCCCTGTGTACCAAAGCTTGAAACCTGTATTGTCCACCTCCTTCGCCTTCAGACCCTTCCATTTAGTCTCTTGAACGCATAATATATTTACACGCCTCCTAATCGCGGTATCAACTAATTCTCTTAACTTACCTGTAAGCGACCCTACATTCCAACTAACTAAACGGATCCTAGTTGGTTCGACTAGCTTTCTTACCCTTCACACCCGTCGACTCAGATGTGAAGACCCTTACTCATTTTTCACTACACCCGGGCGCCGATATAGCGTGCCACTAAGGAAGCGACGACCCGATCCTTGGCCACTTGACACCGTGCCCAGATCGCGACACGGCACGTCACCAAGGGAGTGCCGACCCGGCCCTTGCCCATTTAACACCATACCCGGGTTCCGATATAGCGCGTCGCTAAGAGGGTTACGCCCCCAACGATTTTCTTTCGGGTTTCATCTCCGTTAAAATAGCTAGATTTAACGTTGGCTCGCCACGCCTATCACAACCCTCTTCCTTTAACAGGGCTTGAGACCTGCTATGTTGAGACAACATATGCGGAGTTTCGAAGGAAAACAACAAAGAATTGATATGCCAAATTACTGACAAGCAATGGATTAGCTATACTACTGATGTCGCTAAATGCCGTCACATTCTAACTTCTAAGCGCTTCCGGCTACCTCATAGTGACCGGTGTTACTGCCCTGCAAAAGTAATAGGAAAAACATCTGGAAATTAGAAGCAGGCTAATACTACTCCAATTACTACAAAAGACGAACTACATAAGCAGGAAATGAATCTGCCGAGGACCCCGTGTACAACAAACACATATGTACTTACGTCAGTTGCCATTTGGTCCTTGGTTGAGAACAAGTCCTTCAGCATTTTATCCAAAGAATCCTTAGCTAATGGAGACTTCTTCACTTCTTTCTGCCCTGATGATTCTACAGAATCCTCAACAGGTGCGGCACCGTTTTGAAGCTGCAGCAATAACAGAAGTTTAGCCTGATCAGATATCTAATCCTAGAACACTACATATCTCCATTGCCGTTCACTAGTTCAGGTAAACAATTGAAATGATAACCAACATCTAGCTTCAAGTTCAGCAAGATTTGATTAACATCCACGAAAGAGTGTCACACCTCTGCATTAGCGGCATCTGGATGCTCTGATTGTGTCTCCATTTTGGTTCAACTGACATTCTGCAGCGCTAGAATGCCGCGCGGATTTCTACAGAGCAGCTCGGTCGGACGCGTGTGAAGATCAGAAAACGATGGAGACAATGACGAGAACATGTTGTCTGAGCTGAGCATCAAATCGCCGTGTCAGCACCTCATCCTCACCTGATCCTTGGCGGCATCCTGCTGCCACTCCGTCTGGAACTTCTGCAGCAGCAAGGTGAGCAGCTTCTGCAGCTCGGGGGGCACCTCCTCGGGGAAGAGCTTGAGGATGTCGTCCTTGGCGACGTTCTCGTTGACGCACCGCCTGATCAGTATCCTCAGGCACACCAGCAGCTGCAGCAGGGAGATGCCGAAGAAGCAGAGTTGGGGACTGAACAGTCTGAACCTGCACTGCAACGTCCGCGACGCGAGCGATGGCGCAGGAAGGAAACAAGGAATACAGAGGGTGGGGAGGGGCAGGGGGTGCTGAGTGCTGACGGGGTCGAGCTCGGCGTCGGAGGAGAGCTGGAGGGCGTCGCGGGCGACGGTGCTGTCGGCGGCGTCGAGGCCCGTGCGGCGCGTGCGCCAGAGCGCCTGCAGGATGTACTCGACCGACTCCTTGGACCCCGCGCGCGCCAGCAGTGGGAGGTGCATGTGCCCCCACAGCGCCGCCGACGCGCCGCGCTCCCGCTCCATCTCCGGGGTTCTGTTCTGCCCTACCGCCGTCGACGGGGACGCGCGGTGGACCAGTGGGGGACTGCTAGAAGGTGGAGAGGTGTCGGTTCGGTTCTGGTGGGCAGGAACCCAAAAGATGAGCACGTCAGACCAATTACAAGAGACGGTGGCTGCTTACTTGTTGAGGCCCACGTAAGTTAATGGGCTTTACGAAGTCTGGACCAACAAGATCATTCAGTGCCCGCTTAGAGAAGGGTTTTTTTTTTTGAGATTCCCGCTTAGAGAAGGTTTGCTGCCTGAACTAAACCCAGTCGAATTGTCGAAATCCTTTAAATTACTCCCTGTGTCTCAATTTTTTTTGATGTTTTAATCGTAAGACAAACTATCTAAACTTGCTATAAACTACCTAAATTTTTAGTTTTGTTCTAAGTCAAACTATATCTTAAACTAAGACTTCATAATTGATGTGCTGACCACTCTTTATTTCAAAATACTCAGCACTTTACGTTTGCGGAAACCCATTTTAGTCTTAAAAAGAACATGTAAGGTAAATGTTTCGGGAAACATGTAAAAAAATCAGACCTTATTCGATTTGGCGAGGATTCGAGGGGATGTACAGATCAAGTCCAGGAACATGCATTTTGACCATTTTTATTCTGAAAAAGTGGATCACACGTTGGTAACAGTGTGAATGTTGCCGAGTAAGAAGTACTATACTTCTACATCAGATCCCAAATTAGGTGGTGTTTGGATCCGGTGACTAAAATTTAGGAGGTGTGTCGAGAGGATATTGTATGGGGTATTCAGATACTAATAAAAAAATAAATTACATAATCCTCCCTGTCAAGATTTTTTGATGACGCCAAAGCCTAATTAATCCGTCATTAGCGTTATGTTTCTACTCAAACTATATCTTAAACTAAGACTTCACATTGTCAAATCATGAACTAATTAGGTTTAAAATTTTAGATTAAAAAGAACATCAAGGTAAATTAGTCATAAAAACTATGCAATTAGTTTCGTAATTAGTCTATATTTAATACTCCATGCATATGTCAAATATTCGATGGGACAGCGACTAAAATTTAGGAGGGGCAACCAAACACCACCTTACATCAACTCGATCATTTTGTCGGCTTATCACACACGGTGAACCGGATCCAGCATATCCGGTCCATGTGAAGCACGTGCTGACGAGGGAACCCCTGCGAATAGAGAAAATAAAAATGGGTCCCTTTCTTATCATATACTCTTATAAAGTTAAATCCCACTAGAAATTTCTCTCAACATGCAAGCTATCCACATCAACAATTCACTAGAACTTGCAATTATAGTCAACTAGCACATGTAATTATGATAGTTATCTCTTCATCTACTAACATGTATTTAGCTGTCTACATCGATGGGTCAAACTATTCACCAAAATTAATTTAAGATAGTTTTATTCATATAACTATAAATATAAATAGTCTAATTTTTTTAAATTATCTGGAATCCCCACAACAATGCGCGGGGTATTCTCCTGTTTAAAAAAAATGAAATCAGATTGGTTACCGTGAGATTGACCAATCGCACGTAGGTCAAAACCGGTTAAAAGCACCCATTTCGCGCGGCAAATAAGCGTCCAGTAATAACAGGACCACAGTCGGTTGATAGCGATCTGGCCATCCAGGACACCGGACACACTGCTAGTAGGCCGCCTGCAAAAGCCCAAAAGGCCGTATGCCGCAGTCGGAGTAATGCCCTCCGTGCAACACGCACCCTCATATTCCACAAACTTTTTTCTTAAAAAAACTTCCATTCACAAACTCTCAAAATACATTTTTAGCACCCTAATATTGTTCAAATATGTCACATAGGTTCATAACTGATCCGGGGCTTGCTTTTGGCCTACATGCGTGACATAAGTCCATAACGGTTTGAGTGCTGGCTTTTGGGCTACATGCGTACGAATGTGAAGAATGCGTGAGGTGGTTTGTACGATGTTGAAATAAGCAGACACACACTCTTCTTCCTCGTTTCCAGCTCCAGGTTGGCACAGTCAGCGTCACGTAGACACACCTTACCGTAAGCCTAAAAAGGCCGTCGTCACTCCTCAGTGCACGACAATGCCACGCCACCGCCAGAGTACTTTTGGAGTTGATGCCCTCCGTGCAACACGCGCGGACTATTAACTCCCGGCGCCAGTAGCCTCGTGTATTTTTAAGCGACCGCGGGAGCCGTCGCCGGCGGCCGGGTGCTCGTGTAGGTGTCGCGGCTGTTTCCTGGCGTGGGCGTCAGGAGGCGCGACGGCGATGGTGATGGTGGTCGGTCGCTCTGGTGGCGGCCACGTTGCTGGGGACGGCGAGCGCGTCCCCGGCGGAAGGGATCCAGCCGCTGTCCAAGATCGCTGTCCACAAGGCCACCGTCGAAATGCAGCCATCGGCGTACGTGCGGGCGACGCCGTCGCTGCTCAGCGAGCAGGTGCATACCCGTACCCCCTATGTACACCACGCCGGCACCGGCAGGCGGCGGCGCTCAGATTAGCGTTGGCATTGCCTACACACTGCACATGCTTCTCCGTGTGTTCTCAAACCTTTTGAATCGCCTGCGGCATGCATGCACACCGTGTACATTCTTCGTTCGTTCTAGGAAAGTATTTGAGCGTCAGGCATGATAGGGAGAAGACACTGAATGGGTGACGGTGAAGTTCGGCCGGAGAAACCCCTCCGTCGACGACTGGATCGCCGTCTTCTCTCCGGCTGATTTCAAGTAAGTTTAGACGTATACAAGTTTATTAATACTCGTACTAGATTGTAACACATGAAAATCACTATTATATATGTGGTGGTATATATGCAGCTCGTCTACGTGTCCTAACCCTTGGCCAGCAGAACCGCCGTATCTCTGCAGAGCACCCATCAAGGTCACTAGCTAATTTGCAAACGTATCGATCATTAATGATGTGTAGAACCACCGAATAAACCTAATCTGTAGATCTTTCTTTCACTGAAAACATTATGTGTTGCTGCATGGGTGCGAACGTGCAGTATCAATACGCCAACTACTCGGCAAACTACAACTCCTGGGGCAAGGGCAAGGGCAGTGTCCGGTTGCAGCTCATGAACCAGCGCTCTGACTTCGCCTTCGCCCTCTTCACCGGCGGCCTCGACAACGTTCGTGATTCAGCTCTGCTAATGAACTGGCAATCAAGTCAAGGCCGTCTATATGTCTCACCGTTGCATCCATCGATCCGTCCATGCATGCATATTTGCAGCCGAAGCTGGTCGCGGTGTCGCCGAAGCCGATCGCGTTCAAGAACCCCAAGGCGCCGGTGTTCCCGCGCCTCGCGCAGGGCAAATCCCACGACGAGATGACGGTGACGTGGACCAGCGGCTACGACATCGGCGAGGCGTACCCGTTCGTGGAGTGGGGCGCCTTGGTCGCCGGCGCCGCCCAGCCCCAGCAGACCGCGCGCGCGCCCGCCGGCACGCTCACCTTCAACCAAGGCAGCATGTGCGGCGAGCCGGCACGCACCGTCGGGTGGAGGGACCCCGGGTTCATCCACACCGCCTTCCTCAGGGACCTCTGGCCCAACAAGGAGTGAGTACACTGCCATTGCACTTCATTGCATTGCAGACCGCAGTGTTGTGATTCCAGAGTTTGTAGCGAGCGCATGCAGTTGTCAGCTTTAATCTTTATCACAACTTCCCAAGGTGTCATCGACGGCGACGCTTTATTTCTCGACGAATGTGTCACTAGATGTCAGCTTTAAGCACGTGCACGTGTACTCTCTGTTCGAATTTTTAGGTTTCACTCTCTTGGACTTTGTGCTTCAGGTACTACTACAGGATCGGGCACGAGCTCCACGACGAGTCCGTGGTGTGGGGCAAGCGGGCCTACACATTCCGCGCGCCGCCGTCGCCGGGGCAGAAGTCGCTGCAGCGCGTCATCGTCTTCGGCGACATGGGAAAGGCGGAGCGAGACTAAAGATGCAACGGGGCTCCTATACCCGATATCCGACGGGTATTTGATCCATTAGGGGACGGGAACGGGATTATATTTTTATCCGCGGGCATCTAAATGGGCAAGAATCTATCCCCGATGGGTATAGCGAGTACGGGAACGTTCCCTGTTTACCCGTCCCCGTTACCCGTTGGGGAACCCGACTATTTGAGCTGTCATGCAAGTATTAAGCCCAAAGAAGCTCAACATAGGTATTTTGGCTCAAATCTGAATAATCATACATATAGTCTGTGTGTTCTAGGAACCTAGTTCAATTTTTCCTCACCATCTCTGCCAGCAGCACAAGCACGCCACCTCACGAGCGCTCGTGCCCCTCGCTTCCTCAGTTCGGTCTCTCTGCCACCTTTGCTCGTCTTCCTCGCAACCTCGCTCCTTCTCCTCGGATCTTCAAGACTCCGACACTTATACCCGGGTAAAAAAGAAACGTCTCCGATTGCAAAGCTGCGACCCCAAGTGTCCTTGTTTATCGGGTATGCAGTACCCGTCGGGTATCTGTTACCCGACCGATGCCCGATGGGTACGGGGATGGGCAAGAATCTATACCCAAGATAGTTAACGGGGACGGGGACGAAATGAATTCTCCGTAACGGGAAAGAGAACGTTCCGATGATACCCGACGGGTACATCCCCGTTGCCATCTTTAAGGGAGACGGGTCGAACGAGTACGCGGCGTACCAGCCGGGGTCGCTGAACACGACGGACACGCTGATCAGTGACCTGGACAACTACGACATCGTGTTCCACATCGGCGACATGCCGTACGCCAACGGCTACATCTCGCAGTGGGACCAGTTCACGGCGCAGGTGGCGCCCATCACAGCCACGAAGCCCTACATGGTGGCCAGCGGCAACCACGAGCGGGACTGGCCCGACACGGCGGCGTTCTGGGACGTGGAGGACTCCGGCGGCGAGTGCGGCGTGCCGGCCGAGACCTACTACTACTACCCCGCCGAATACAGGGCCAACTTCTGGTACAAGGTGGACTACGGCATGTTCCGCTTCTGCGTCGCCGACTCGGAGCACGACTGGCGGGTGGGCACGCCGCAGTACGAGTTCATCGAGCACTGCCTGTCGACGGTGGACCGGAAGCACCAGCCGTGGCTCATCTTCGCGACGCACCGCGTGCTGGGCTACTCCTCCAACGCCTGGTACGCCGGCGAAGGGTCCTTCGAGGAGCCCGAGGGCCGCGAGAATCTGCAGAAGCTCTGGCAGAAGTACCGCGTCGACATCGCCTTCTTCGGCCACGTCCATAACTACGAGAGGACCTGCCCTATGTACCAGGTAGTAACCTACTAACCCAGGAGATTCTGCAGTAATCCTTGGTAATTAATCCTAACTTTACCCTGCAACGAACGATGGAGCAGAGCCAGTGCATGACCAGCGAGAAGAGCCACTACTCCGGGACGATGAACGGGACCATCTTCGTGGTGGCCAGCGGCGGCGGCTGCCACCTGTCGGACTACACGACGGCGATCCTCATCCCCAAGTGGAGCATCTACCGCGACCATGACTTCGGCTTCACGAAGCTCACGGCGTTCAACCACTCGTCGCTGCTGTTCGAGTACAAGAAGAGCAGCGACGGCAAGGTCTACGACTCCTTCACCATCCACAGGGACTACCGCGACGTGCTCCGATGCGTGCACGACAGCTGCTTCCCCACCACGCTCGCCACCTAGTTAAGCCAATGTTAAGACACCAGTTGTGGTTTTGGTCCAAATAAAACGTGTCACTTAGTAGAAAGTAAAATTCCTCAGCAGTTTATCAAAGTTGTCTAGTATCATCTAGTAAGTCTCTAGAGTCTCAAAATGTATTTTTAGCTCCTGAAGTTGTAACGAGTCTCCTCCACCCAGTAGGTGTTTACCCGATCTGCTACCTACGTGGCATGGATCTAAGAGATGGGACCCACATGTCTACGGTGAGGCTTAATCTTAGAAAAAATGTGTTGGATGAAGATGATTTTGTATGAAGATTATAGCTCTTGTTGAGATCTACAACACTCTAGTTTTGAGTGTTTTTATTTGAGATCGTTCAAATGATAAAAGATATAAAATTTTAGTAGCATATTAATCTGGTACCGGGGTTTGTCGCCTTTGAAAGACCATACCTTTCTTATACGATGTCAGACACAGATACTTGGTATATGAAAATTTGGTAGACCTAACTATAATGATAAAACCATAGCTCACGTGTACCGCATGTGACCAACTATCCAAATCATCAGCCACGTTATACTGTGTACATCGAATTTAAACACAAAACGAACCGGTATGGATTATTTGTTGGCCACTTAAAAAGGTTTTGGCCCTAGACATGCAAATTTAAAGTTGGTAACTAACACAGACTCACAAGTTGATGACTAACCATACACTTTACTCTAAGATTTAGTTTACCTTTCTTTATTGGAAAATCAGTTTTTTATTTTCTCCAATTTTTGAAACTATATAAAACTGTCTAAAGAGCAATTCCGTTTCCAAAAGCTAGAGGAGTTTTTTTAAATTACAACAACACAGACATCCACTAACACGCACGCACACTTACCCTTATGAACATATGTACATAAATCATACCCCTACGAGCATATTCGAAAGACTGAGCCGGCAGATCTCGAGATTCACGAAGTCACCACTGGTGCCTCATTATCGACGGGGACGTCGTCTGCCACTGAAAGCATAGCGCCGTTAAATTGTAGATAAATAAAAAAAAAACGAACAACCGTGCACGTCGAGATCTCGAACCTAATCTATGATAAACATACGGGTTGTCCGATCGGGGATGTAAATTGAACATGGGCAAAAGTTTTAGGGAGCTCAGGACTGTTTCTTTGGGCATATGTTTGCTCGCTGAGCATGGCCCAGCAGCCCACAGATATGCCTTCTGCTTGGGCCGGAACGGACAGCACCGCAAGAGGGTAACGGGTCCTGGTGCCCTCGATCTTTGTTCTTTGGAATTCCTTGTTCTTTTCCGCGTTTCTCTTGTTGAGCAGTTGGGTGGCCGTCTATTGGTCCCGGATCCAAAACCTCGGGCCGGCCAGTAACCGTATGCATTAGCCGAGAATGATGGCCTGTTGGGTTCGCACGTAGGTTTTGCTACGTTTTTAATTGCGCGGTGGAGTGAGCGAAGCTGGTAGTTTGGTTTTGATTGTTTTCGACTGAGTTGTTTTTAGTATTGCCTCACGCATTAGAGGTTTGTTAAGTTTTAGTAGTCGGTCTTTGTACTTGAGTTATTGGTCGTTGTATTTTTAAACTGGTGATTTTTTTTGTCCAGTTTCCACACAAAAAACTAGGTTGTTATCTTTTTTTTTCTTCTTCTAATAAAAATTATGACAAAACTTTTTCTGTCCTTTTAAAAAAAGAATTGCGCGGTGGAACCGAGGCTGCGACGAGTTGAGCAAACAAGAAGCAGGTAGCTGTGCGCTTCTTCGATACACGAGTACGAGATCGATCTAGATGGATGATTCCTTGATACACATGGCACATGGCTCATGTAAGTAAGAACAACTTGCGTCCAATAATGATAGCGAAGTTGATCCCAAAACATATCGAGTTCACGAGCAAACGTGCTAGTACCTAAATTGTTAAATACGGTGATTTCTCTCTTTAGTGCCTCATTCATCCATCATTTCTCCTCTATCTGCCGTCCCTCACTTTCGCTCTTTTTCTCTTCTATATCTACCGTCCCTCACTTCTATCTTTGTTGGTGCCGCACCACGTACTCATGTATCATGGGGATCTTTGATTTCAATACTGCAACAATGACACTAGAACTAGAAGTAGTATTCGTAATGCATTTCGTACCTGCATGTCCCATTGTCTTATACACACAGATTAGCGCTACTTCCTAGTTGGAGGAGGAGGAAGCTGTTCACTTTAGAGGTGATAATTAATTTTCGAGCTTTTGGTTCAGATTATTCCATATTTGTGACAGTTAATAAGCAGACTTCAATCAAATATTATCTTAGCTAATAAGCAATGCTCGTGTTAATTTTGTAAAGCCTGTGTAGGAGCATTGGTTGGTTGCTGGAGAGTGGAGACTACTGTTCAATGCCTTGTTAGATAGGATAGATCTTGTCAAAAAATGCCTTAATAGGATCGGCATTCAGATGCATATTCGCGGGGTGTAGGACCGCCGACAGGTAGGCGTAATAATCATATGAGGACTCTCAGTACATGCTATACCAAGTCTTAATAATAGAGTGATACCACTGCTAATCATCTTGTTCCGTCCTATATATGCACGTACGTGGTCCCGGCCTGCGCTGCTAGCTCTCATGAGTACATACATACGTGGTCCTATATATGTATGTACTCATCGTTGCTAGCTGCACCGAAAAGGCGACGTCTCACCGGCGCTGTCGGACGCACGAAACCAAGCCGCATGCTGCTCATCGCCGTCGTCGGCATGCATCGCCCAGAGCCAGCCGGGCATAGCCCATGCAGGCTTGCATGCTAATTATTAGATAAACAGGAGCTTAAGCCACAAGATCTCTAATATAGTTGATGTGATCACATTAGTGGATCGATGATTAACTATAATCTTCACGGTAGTCCGCCATCGATAGAGGTCGTTGAGGGATCGATGTAGTCGCCTTCCTCTTCTCTGAAGGCGTAAACAAGATGCCGATGTCCACTAGATGTCGGTGGGGGAAGAGGAACGACGGTGAACGGCGGTGGCCTTCTCGTCACTTCAGCGCCCTTGGTAATCGGATCTTAGAAGAAGATGTGGGATTGGCTGTAGTCCAAACGGAACGTTGGTTTACCAGGAGTGGGAGCCACCTCTTATTAGCGTCGCGTGACGAGGGATCACAATCTCGTAACGTTACGATGCCTCTGGTTACGGCACGTATGGGAAAGATTCCCCTTCAGTTTGACTCGGCCTTAGAGCAACTCCAACCGAATTCTTACTTGAGCCCTCATCTTATTTTAAGAGTTCAAACACATCAAAAACCTCTCCAACCGAACCCCTATTTAAGCCCCGATGGATGATGGACTCTCATTTCTCTCTCCTAAACCCCCAGGTGTAGAAGTCCCTCATCCTCTCCCTCATCCTGCTTTCTCTCTTGCATAAAGCTGACAAGTGGGACCAATAAATAAGGTCCATGACAATACAGTGTAAAAGTAGGAAAAATTTAGAAGATCGGTTGGAGTACCCTGAGAAGTAGGGGATGAAATATGGATAAAGGACTCTCATTTGCAGGAATAAGGAGTAAAATTTAAGGGATTTGTTGGAGTTGCTCTTAGACACGGTTAGGGCGTTGGTCCATACCTGTCCATGGGCCTGAGATCACCTGTTCCAACACTAATAAGTTGCTAAACACTACCATAATTAACCGTGCTGGTGTAGTGATCGATCGAGCTAATGAATGATGAATCAACGTCGTCTGAATCAGGCAAGAAGAGGTCAGGTCGATCAGCCCAAGTACGTACGCCACGGGAGAATAAGAGAGTTTCACATTTACAAGCCTGCCTGTCTGCCTGCAACTGCATGCCCGTCGTGGCCCAGCGAGTTACCGAAACTCCCGGCAACCAGCAACTAGCCGCAGGTGGACGACGACGACGGCTGTCCTGGCTACAGCCTACAGGGACGTACCAGGCGGCCGGTGGACAGTGTGAATCGATCGGCTTTACCATGGTCCATCTGAAAGCAACGTCTGGAACCATGCTGGGGGTTGAATGAATGATCAGCGGACTGAGACAGTGATGAGATGAGACTATTATGAGAGTTGCTAGAGTGCGTGGGAGACTGAAACACTTCGTCTGTTCGAGCTGTATACATCGATGGATCCATACAGCTTGCAGTAATGCAGCAGCAGCTTGCTTGTGGACTGTGCCCGCGTCTCCATTTTCTACTGAACTTGCTGGTCAAGTGCGGCGCCGCATTCTCTCTTTCTCCGCATCGAGCCTATCGATCGGTAAGCTAGTGTAACGCCCTAGCCCGACAAGACGGTTAACATCTACTCTACACGTTAATGGACCCCGTCTGATAATTAACTTTCTAGCGCTTTCGTTCTCGCTTCGCGCAAAAAGTTCAAACCGGAGTTAATTCCCTCTCAGACTACTCAGGCTGGACGAAAGTCCGTAACTACAGTATTCCGCTCCTACAGTATCAATAATCGGACTACAGTGCTCGCTCATTCGGTCTAGCGCATCAGATCGGCCTAACTTGGCCCATTTAGCGGTGTCTCACTGTACGTACTGTATGTAACAACCGATGTCTTGCAACATCATCATCAGTAACGGATTCAGAGCGATGTGATGTGATTGTTGCTGTTGGCCCATTGCATGCACACAGGCGGCCAAGGCTGCACTGGGAACGAAGCTGCTGCAGGCTGCAGCATCGATCGCCATTCGCCAGCCATGCATCTGGCAGCCGACAGCAACCGGTGCACTGTAGTAATGTGCCGTATGGCGAATTGGCAATGCACAAGCTAGCTAGCACGCAGTTATTAGCCGCACTGTCTCGTCACTATCCAAGGTATTGCCCAGCTTTATTGAAAGCTTAACGAGCCCAGGATGCATCTCGTCACTGTTGGATTGGATTGGATGGACGATGGATCGACCGACGGAGGTGAAGGCGGATCGGAGTCGTACACTCGTACGCACTGCCCACTGCAGCGATGAATAATCGCCGTCCATGTACTACGTGTCCATATGGTATGGACCATTGCTGGGAGCCGCTGGACCCGGCCGAGAGGGACGGACCGATCGATGCTTTCAAGAGCTAGAGACGACGGTGCAGTACGTCCGGTCCGGGCTGCCTCCACCTCCAGCCTCCAGGGCACGGCAGGCGGCAGGAGAGCGATCTGCACGCAGTGCCCGCACCTGCAGATAGATCCGTCCATCCATCGCCATCGCCGTCGTGCGCGCATGGTCATGTCAGTGACAGGGCGTGCCCATCCACCACAGTGCAATCTGCTCCCCGTCCCCGGTCCGCATTGCTTGCTTCCGGCCCCGTCCTTCCTCCAAATAGGCCGTCGCCGTCGGCGGAATTCAACTCGGAATAGCCATCCTCCGGCCGGAATTCAACCCCGAACAGCCGTCCTGCCGCATGCTTGCTCCGTACGCGCCCGACAGGGCAGGCAGCTCCTCCGCGGACGCAAAGGCCGGGCCGGGGCGGAGAACGTGTCGATCTCGGCCGTGGCGAGTGGCGACTGGTCCGTCCGTCGCAGCGCTAGCAAGCTGGGTTTTTCTTCTTGCAGCGGATCCCGCGGCAAGATTGCGGGTCGTCATCGGACGGGGACGGCTGCCGGAAAACTGTGGCGCAGCGGGGTGGACTGGAGCAGCACGCCGCCGCGCGCGCAGCAGCAGCATCTCGTTGCGTGCGGCGCTAGCTCGTCGACCACGACCACCGTGTCCGTGTGTAGTATTTCTGGGAGAAGTGTCGCTGTGCACGAGTTCGGGGAGCCCAAGCAAGCAGAGAGACGACCGCGGTGCGACGAGGCCGTCCGCGCGCTGTCGCGCTCCCATGAGAGCTGACGACGGCCACATCCGGCGCGGTGGCGGACAAAGATGCAATTTTTAGGATCCGGGGAACTGCCTGGGGAGCAGCGAGTGGTTGGCAGCCACGCGTGCGTGCACAACACAAGCACGCTCATCTTCTCTCAGTTTTTATCTTATACCGTAGTTAACTGGCCGGTAAACAAACAGGCATGTAAGCTCAACCACAAACAAGGATGATAGGTGCCGCTGCAGCACCGCTATTGCTATAGTTAATCTCAAACAGAGTATAAGCCTAAGGTCTCGTTTGGTACACCTCTGCTTCAGGGTGTATTTTTTTTAGTCTGTCTACTACACAATCATGTGTTTTATATAGTTTTAACATATGAATTTTTTGCATCATAAGATTAAGATCCAACAGTCTCCACCCTTCTTCTACCTCTAGCCTCCAGCCCCACAGATCACAGATCACAATTTTTTTTTTATGGAAGGACAAATCACAGATCTGCCGCCGCTGCCGCCGCCACCACTGCCACTGCCATGGCCAGGGCGAGCTCGCCGATTGCCGTCGCTGGCGCCGGTGGTCACTGGTGAGAAAGAGAGAGGGAGAGAGATAAAAAAATCCATGTGTTTTTTTATGCTAAAACACATGTGTGTTATATAGCATTTCTGTTTTTTTTTTTCTAGCTCTACAAATAGTTTCACCGTGAAACTAGAGCTGTTTTTAAAAACGTTTGGTCAAATAATTTTCTATGAGAACGGGTCTTAAGAAGCTCCGCTTGAGAAGATGTTTTATTTTAATTTGTTTGATAAAAATAAAGTTCTAGGTAACTACTGAAGCTGCTAAAGAAACTGTGGTAAAACAAGTCTATTAAATAGAAGTCACACATAAGAGAAAAATAAGTCTAAAAAAATCAATTTTCAATCAATCAAAGAACCCTTGTCTAGTACGGCACCTCCTGTCCAGCTTGTCTGTACCGACGACAGTGAGCATCCCTTCATTCCGGAAACCCTGGCGATGCAAATAAAACATGAGCAGAGATTGGCGAAGCATACTAGCTAGGTACTTTTATAGATCATCAGTAAGGCTAATGGTGTCGGGCATGCTGTTAATCGCATGCTGTCACTGTTATGATGCGACGGATGACGTTTGTTTATTCAAAGCGAGATCTAGCATAGATACGCTCGGGTAAGGCAGTGCCTGTCGCGGGCCCCACGCACGTCCTCCCCGTCGTCCCCGGCTACCACAGCGACGGAGTGATGGAGCTCAAGGCACCCGCATTTTTGGCATTGGAAAGCCGACCCGCAAGCATCTGTATCTCCTCCTCCAACCACTCGTCGGCTCCTGCTGCCAGCCCTTATCCGCTTCCCTGTGCTTATTCGACTCCTTTTGTTTTATTAGCTCCTAGATTAGGACATGTAAATAGATTTGTCGTGAACGTTTCTTTCCACACGGGCACACCTCGTGACTAGTGTGCTTTGGCACGCGCACACTAGAGGACAAAAAAAACTCACATGGAGATAATGGTAGAGACAGTGCCTTGAGACGAAGAGCTCGTCGGTGTTTGGGTTCGGGATATTAGAGTTGGGGTACAGGGTTTTTGAGGGGAGAGGTTTCCATGGCTGCGGATCTTAGAAGAGGTTTTCAGGAGAGGCCGCAAAACCGGCGGTGCTGGTGGTCGAGACGGTAGCAAGACGGGGACGACATCGGGGCCGTGTTTAGTTTGGCCGATTCGGTAGCAAAATCACGGGACGACATCGCTGACTAATTAGCTGGAAAAGGAGATGATGGATTTCATCAACATTTAAGATTTCACGCACGTACCTGTGAGTTTGGCGACCTTGCGCGGTCAAAGTTGGAAATTTGGTAGAACTAAACATGGCCTGGCTGGAGAAGGAGATGATGGCTGGGCAACCTAATGGTGGTGCAAAGGTCGATGAATGGGCAATAATGGTGGTGCAAACGACAACAGGGCGACGGGGACATCGGTTGGAGAAGGAGATGCCGCCTTGGGTGAGGGTGGCGGTTTTCGGGGAAGGCCGCCGAACCGAAAGTGATAGTAGTCGAGACGATAATAGGATGGTACGACACAAACACCTGTTGGAAGGTGCGGCACAGACACCGATTGGAAAAGAGTTTGGATTAGCATCAATGCGCGAGGATGGTGGTTAAGACAACAGCATAGTGGGGCACTAGGGGCATAGGTCGGAGAGGAGATGACGGCTCAGATTAGCGTTGACGGCAGTGGCAAAGGGTGGCATCACAGTCAAAGCTGGCGGAAGACGGGGAGAGGGGTACCGCTAGAGTTGGGTGGTTGTAGCACCACCCTTAAAGATGGCAACGGGCACAGAATGCCCGCATGCCCGCGGGCATGGAACCCGATGGGCAAGGATACGAGCACCACTTCTTGCCCGCGGGCACGGACGCGGGCACCATCCTGAACCCAGAGGATAGTTCTTCGCGGGCAAAGAAATTTGCTATCCTCGCCCATTATCCGCCGCACCACCCACAGTGTCTAACATGTGGGACCTACAGCAAATATATGTATATATACACGATTTGTTGTGAATATGTATCTTCATATCTCTTGTAATGCACTATGGTTTATGTATATGCTCAACCTAGCGGGCACACGGGCATGCCCGCGAACATTTCATGCCCGCGGATGGAGGGCGCGGGCGTGGTTTGTTGCCCGTGGCGGTCATGCGGCGCGGGCGCTGAAGAGATTTAGCCTGGCGAACACAGGCATGCATAAGGTAGGTATCCGCGGGCATCACGCCCGCTGCCATCTTTAACCACCCTGCATGCTGAGTGCCCACACACTCCCACCAACTCACTTAAGCCCTATTTGATCAGGCTCTGTTTTACAGTGTCAGGGGAGCCGGAGCCGAAGGAGCCACAAATAGTGGCTTAGTGGCTCCTCTGGTTGCCTCCATTCTAAGTATACTCCATCGGCTATAGAGCAAGCTAGTTAGTTTGTTTATAACCCAATAAATTATATGTCATATGTGTTGAGTTGTGATCCAAATTCAGTTATGTACAAGATAAAAGGCTAATTTCTGTTGGAGCGAAGCGAGGCCCGTCGTCGGGAGGCCCATCATGTTTCACCGCCGCACTAGGACGCCTGGGGGGTGCGGGGGGCGAAGCCCCCCCCGCGGTACGGATCGTCACCTATTAGGGTTTTCCATCTATATATACTTTATGTAAGCCGTCGTCTTGGGATAAGAAAAATAGAACTTTGGCTCAAGCTGGAATCGATCTGCATGTCCAAGGATTTAACTAGTAAGATGCACGTGAAGATGAAGTTGTTCACGCACAAGCCTGCAAGAAGGTGGTTCGGTGATGAATCACTTATCGATCTTTTAGGAGATCGTTGCCAACCTAGTGTCGATGGAGGTAAAATATGATGATAAAGATTTAGCTCTTCTACTGTTATGCTCACTGCCTACTTCGTTTGCAAATTTCCGAGAAACCATACTATTAAGCCGTGATGAACTAACCCTTGCGGAAGTATATGAGGCCCTCCAGACGAGGGAGAAGATGAAAGGTATGGTTCAGTCTGATGTGTCATCCTCCAAGGGCGAAGTGTTGTAGGTTAGAGGCAGGCCCGAGCAGAAAACCTACAACAACAACAATAATCGAGATAAGAGCAAGAACGGTAAAGGTCGTTCGAAGTCCAGAGGCAGGGATAAGTTATGCAAGTATTGTAAGAAAGATAGTCATGTCATTGAGGATTGTTGGAAGCTGCAGAATAAGGAGAAAAGAAACGGTACGTATAAACCAAAAAATAAATTCGATGGTGATGGTAAGGCCTATGTTGTCTCCGCTGTTGATAATTCTGATTCAGAAGATGTTCTGGTTGTTTTTGCTGGTTGTGTTGGTGGTCTTGATGAATGGATACTTGATTCTGCATGCTCGTTTCATATATGATCTAACAGAGATTGGTTTAGTTATTACAAGTCTGTGCAGAGTGGAGATGTCGTGCGTATGGGAGATAACAACCCACGTGAGATCGTGGGCATTAGCTCCGTTCAGATCAAGATGCATGATGGCATGATACGCACACTGAAAGATGCGAGACACATACCAGGGATGGCCAGAAATCTCATCTCCCTTAGCACACTTGATGCCGAGGGGTACAGACACTCTGGTTTAGGTGGAGTGTGTAAGGTATCAAAAGGCTCTCTCATTCATATGATAGGTGATATGAATTCTGTAAAGTTATATGTTCTTAGAGGAAGTACTTTACATGGTTCCGTCACTGCTGCTACTGTTTCTAATGATGAACCAAGTAAAACTAATCTCTAGCATATGTGTCTTGGGCATATGAGTGAACTTGGTATGGCAGAATTGATCAAGAGAGACCTACTGGATGGCTACACTGTGGGTAAGATGAAGTTCTGTGAGCACTGTGTTTTTGGTAAGCACAAGAGGGTAAAATTCAATGCATCTGTTCATACCACCAAAAGTACACTTGATTATGTACATGCTGATTTGTGGGGGCCATCTCGTAAGCCCTCTTATGGTGGTGCTCGTTACATGCTTACCATTATTGATGATTACTCTTGAAAAGTGTGGCCTTACTTTCTAAAAAATAAAGATGATAGTTTTGCTGCTTTTAAAGAGTGGAAAGTTATGATAGAAAGGCAAACTAAAAAGAAGATAAAATTGCTTCGTACTGACAATGGCGGTGAATTCTATTCGGATGCTTTTAATGATTATTGCAGGGAAGAAGGCGTTGTCAGGCACCACACCATCCCGTACACTCCTCAGCAGAATGGTGTGGCTGAGCGCATGAATCGAACCATCATCTCGAGGGCTCGTTGCATGTTGTCCAATGCTCATATGAACAGGCATTTTTGGGCTGAGTCTGCTAACACCGTCTGTTACTTGATCAACCGATCACCTTCTATCCCACTTAATAAGAAAACTCCCATTGAGGTATGGTCTGGTATGCCTGCTGATTATTCATAGTTGAGAGTTTTCGGTTGCACTGCTTATGCTCATGTTGATAATGGAAAGCTAGAACCTAGAGCCATTAAGTGTCTGTTTCTTGGTTATGGTTCTGGAGTTAAAGGATATAAGTTATGGAATCCTAAAACTAAAAAGACTTTCATGAGCAGAAACGTTGTTTTCAATGAATCTGTTATGTTTAATGACAGCTTGTCCATAGATGTTTCACCAGTTGGTTCTGATGAGGAGCAGCGAACATATTAGCTTGCAGGTGGAGCACGTAGATGATCAGGAAATTGAAATTGTTGATAACAATGTTCATAATATTTGTCGGTGTTTCGGACCGGAGGGTCCTCAACCAACTAGTAAATGTGAACTGCGTGCCCCTAATCCCGGATGGTGATGCAAAGAGACACAAGGTTTATACTGGTTCAAGCAATTGGTGCCCTACGTCTAGTCTGAGAGATTGATCTTGTATTCCTTGCACCGAAGTGCTTGTAGTAGGGAGTTACAAAGCTGGGTGAGAGAGGAGCTAGTCCCAGTGTCTCAAGCATGGAGCAGTCTGCGGTTGCTTGAGACGTTGCTCTCGAGCAGCTTTGGGAGAGCGTGTGTCACGTGAGCCTATCTCCGTGAGCTCGTGAGTGCCTCCCCTTAAGAACGGCCCTAGTCTCCCCTTTTATAGTTGAAGGAGGGACAGGGGTGATACATGTGTTCACCATGCGGCGAGCGGAGGTGGCGTGCCGGAGTCCTGCAGCTTACTACTGTAGTGGCATGGTCAACAGAGTGATCTTGTCCTTGATGTACTGGAGCAACGCGCCGGTCACACCCGATTTTGTATGACGTGGGCGCTCCAGTGATAGCTTGATGTAGGGTATGGCCGACGGTGTGCTGGTCGCTATGGGTTGACGATGAAAAGAGCCGAGGCTCGCTTGGCGCGGCCGAGCCATCGTGGGGGCTCGGTGGCATGCGAATCCGAGGCATTTGCGAGACCGAAGTGGATTGCTGAGGCCTTGGAGGGAGCAGTTGGTCTCATGCACCGATTCCGAGGCTACAGTGACCCGTGCCTACTTCCCCACGCCGTGCTACTCCTGGAGCAGGAATTAGGTAGCACAAGTCAAGATATGGGCGCCCGAGCATGGGTGCGGTGTCTGGACAAAGGGCGACGACCCTGTTTTGTCTTTGTCACGTCCGTCGCTCACCACCATGTCGAGGGCAGTGTGGTGGCCGACGTTGAGGAGTGGTTGGACGTGTGATGTTTTGTCAGAGAAGTCGGTCGAGGCAGATGTGACAAGGTTGTTGCCGAGCCGGCCTCGAGCGAGTCGAAGAATCGATACTTCGTCCGAGGCTTCACTCGCGGGGCCTCGGGCGAATCGGAGAATCGATAACCCGTTCGAGGCCTTGCGGAGCGGGGCCTCGGCACGAGAGGGCCTCGGCGAGGCAGAGAGTCATTGCGACGCGGGCTTCAGGCGAGTTGGAGAATCGGCCGAGACCCTATGATTGTCCTTTGGCTTTGATATTTGCGAGGTCCTAAGCAATCCTTTTGGTTCTTGCTTAGGGTACCCCTTTTTATGGTATCCGATAGTAGCCCCCGAGCCTCGGGGGGAGTCCGAGCACTTTCCCTGAGGGTTTGTTGAGACTTGGCTTGTAGCTGCTCCCGTCGGTATTGTGTTTTGTTTTTTGAGGTTTCGGTGGGTGCGCGCGAGCGCACCTGCCGGGTGTAGCCCCTGAGGCCGTAGAGGAGTGGATTTACCCCTCCAGGGGCTTTGTCCCTATTGAGCGAGGAATTTTATCATGTTTGCCGGGCCCATGAGGGCGAGTTCGAGTCGCTGGGACTTGGCCTAGTTGCAGGAAGAGCCCCTGAGCCTCTGCACGGAGCGGGAGAGCGATCAGTGGTTTCCCTGTCTTGTTTGGCGGCCCTCGCGCATCCTTTTTGTTTGGAAGGAGGGGTGGAACATGTCAGGCTACCCTTGGTGGGCGCGAACAGTGACATCTCCGGTGAGCTATTATCGGGTAGTCCAAGTGGAGGCCCGTGCCCCTATTCGATAGGGGTCGGCTTGCGGTCTAGAGACGCAATCCAAAAGTTCTAGAGGGCTTCTCTAGTGGGTCCTAGGGCCGTTCGATTGGCCTCGGGGGCTCGGTGCCTCCCTACGGTGGGATCCCATTCGGAGTCTTCCCTGCTGGTCTCGGACATGACTTAGGGCTTCCCAAGCATTTGCTTGCCTGGGCTTTTAGCCATGTTCGGGCTTGCCCACAATCATCCCTGACTCTGTTGTCCTGGGGCGGCTATCGAAACCTTTGGGGGGGGGGCCAGCCTTCGAACCCCTGGACCGTAACGGGCTCGATACCCTTTTTGTCGTGTTTTTCCGAATCTCCGAGTGCGAGCTTGGGTGGCTTGCTTTCGTTTTGGGCGCAAGAAGAGCCCCTGATCCTCCGCACGGAGCGAGAGGGCGATCAGGAGTTCCCCTGGCTTTTTAGGCGACCCTCGCGCATCCTTTTCGTTCGGAAGGAGGGGTTGTTTGCCGAGCCCATCGAGTGCGAGACTGGGTCGCTGGGCCTCAGCAAGTTTGCAGGGAGAGCCCTCGAGCCTCCACACGGAGCGAGAGGGCGATCAGGAGTTCCCCTGGCTTTTTATGCGACCCTCGCGCATCCTTTTCGTTCGGAAGAAGGGGTTGTTTGCCGAGCCCATCGAGTGCGAGCCTGGGTCGCTGGGTCTCAGCAAGTTTGTAGGACAAGCCTCTCGAGCCTCCGTACGGAGTGAGAGGCCGATCAAGAGTTCCCCTGGCTTTTTATGCGACCCTCGCACATCCTTTTCGTTCGGAAGGAGGGGTTGTTTGCCAAGCCCATCGAGTGCGAGCCTAGGTCGCTGGGTCTCAGCAAGTTTGCAGGAAAAGCCCCCGAGCCTCCGCACGGAGCGGGAGGGCGATCAGGAGTTCCCCTGGCTTTTTATGCGACCCTCGCGCATCCTTTTCGTTTGGAAGGAGGGGTTGTTTGCCGAGCCCATCGAGTGTGAGCCTGGGTCATTGGGTCTCAAGCAAGTTTGCGAGAAAAGCCCGAGCCTCCGCATGCGGAGCGGGAGGGGTGATCGAGGAGTTCCCCGACTTTTATGTGACCTCGCGCATCCTTTTTGTTCGGAAGGAGGGTGGAATATGTCAGGCTACCCTCGGTGGGTGCGAGCGGTGACACTTCTGGTGAGCTGTTATCAGGTAAGTCCGAGTGAAGGCTCGTGCCCCATTCGATAGGGGTCGGCTTGCGGTCCAGAGACGCACTCCAAAAGTACCAGAGGGCTTCTCTAGTGGGTCCCGAGGCCGTTCGATTGGCCCCGGGGGCTCGGCGCCTCCCTACGGTGGGATCCCATTCGGAGACCTCCTGCTGGTCTCCACGACTTAGGGCATCCCGGCGATCGCTCTCGGCCATCGGCCATGTACGGGCTCACCCATAGTTGTCCCTGACTCTGTTCGTCCTAGGGCGACTGTCGAGACCTTTGGGGGGCCCAACCTTCGAACCCCTGGACCGTAACGGGCTCGGCACCCAGTTCTTTAGTCTAGAAGGAATCGGCAAGAGGAATATTCCCCTCCCATCAGCTGATAACGGCAGGCGCGCCTTTTGAGGCGGTTTCTCGAGGCTTGCTGTTGCTGCGGTTGGATGCGACGCGATGTCGGTGAGACGGACACATAATCGTCTTGCGATTAATGAGGAAAAGGTGGGCGCGTGGGCGGTGAAATCGGATCTGGATTAACTGTGCCTGGACTTGAGGGAAACTTCTCCGATTTCATCGCCTGACCATTTCGTCCTTTCCCTGCATAAATAAGAAACGAGTCTCACCCTCCCCTCCTTACCGTGCCCGTATTTGCATTTTCTGTCTTCGAGCCGTTGCAAAGAACAAAGAGCGCCGGGGAGAAGAAGGGAGAAGAGCGAGCGAGAGAGAGAGAGAGAGAGAGAGAGAGAGAGACTTACCGCCGTAGCCCTCATTCTCCATCACGCAATGGTCGGCGGCCCTCCTATCATCCTCCCGGCGGATCCTTGGGATCCGTCCGATGTGTCCGTGGAGACGCTGCAGTCTCTTGTCGACGATGGCCTTCTCCACCCGATCACCGACCCCGATAGGTCGGAGTGGATTGCTCTATTGGGCGAGCCCGAGCCGAGGCCACCCGCGGGGTACGTTGTGAGCTTCGTGTCCTTCCACGAGCGTGGTCTTTGCTTACCGGCAGACTGATTCATGCGCGTGCTCCCGCATTACTACGGTGTGGAGCAGCATAACTTCAACCCCAACTCCATCGCGCAGGCGGCCATCTTTGTCACCATTTGCGAGGGGTACTTGGGCATTGCCCCCCATTGGGAGTTGTGGCTCCATCTCTTCCGGGCGGGGCATACCACCAAGCCGACAGGCATGGCGGGTACAAGGAAGACGATGAGGGCCGGCGGCTGCACTCTCTAGGTGCGCCAAGGCCGGTAGCACCTTTACATCCCGCCCCAGCTCGTGTCATCCAATCGCCGCTGGTACACCAGCTGGTTCTACCTCCGCAACGACGACAACGGACTTCCCCCCTACACTGGGCGGATCGTGGAGGACTGTCTAGAGAAGTGGGGGTATGGCGTCCCGAGGGAGGATCAGCCCA